TGGCGCTTGTGCAAGCTGCCCGGGTGGCGAGGAGCCTGTCCCGGCTGCCGAGTTTTTGGTGACACCTAGTTTGTCAGACTGTCTCCGAAGGGATCTGGAGCAGCTTTTATGTTAAAACATCTGTTGTATTTAGAAACCTGCACTGACGCTCGGAGGGGTGATTGAAAAAGTGTATATGCTGTTGTCAGATGAAGTTTGAAAAACCAGGTATATATCATATAGATCAGATACTTCATGTATAAACATCATGTATCATCATAAAATACTAAGCATCATCCCACAGCGTGTGTATCTTTGCACAATGTCAGGGATCAAGGTCATAGATAAAATGGCAGGAGATGGAAAGGAAGTAATATTCCCACTTTTATTAAAGATTCAGTGGTCAGTATGTTTGGATATTACCCTCTAAGTAATTAACAGTGGTTTGGTCAGAGTGACTCAACTAATTACTGGCAGGCTTTTCTTTTTTATTGCTATAAGCTGGTTCTTTTGCCTGTCTAATTACAGAATTTCATGATTTCTTTTTCTGAATGATTCAGGTGTTGACTTGCTGGTAGAAAATTTTGGGCAGAGTGATTGTGAGAGATTTGTATTTCTCTTAAGTTGGATTCCGTAAGCGGATCAGAAGAACCTCCCCATAAGCATGCTGGGAGAGAGTCGAAGGCAGCCGAACTTCTTTCTCTGGCACAAACTCTGTAGCGGTATCAGGTGGACTCCGTTTCTCTGCTGCTGCTGTTTGGGTGGGAGCTGCTTGCTGATCTCGAGTCAGGAGCTGTGGCAGAGGGTTTGTTGAAGGTTATGCCCGCACTGGCTCAGTGCTGTGCTGCAGGAGCAGAGCCGTGGCACCAGTTTGCTGGTCCTGAGCACCTAATGCCCACATGAATGTATTTTTGAGGCATTGGACTAGCTCTGGTTTGGTCCCACACGCTCCACTAGTGCCTGGAGTGCTTGGGGTGTGCTCCTGGAGAGCTGCTCCAAGTTTAGCTGTGCCCCGAAGCAATCCCATTTGTGGGCTTCGAGGCAGCACTGTGCTCTGCTGGGAGAGCTCCTGATCTGAACTACAAATTGGTGTAGACACAGCTGTTAAACATCTGGTCTTACCTCTTGCTACGTAGATTGGAGACCACAGGAACAGGCTCTTGGAGGAGGTGGCAGTACTAGTTCTGACTTATTGTTACCTGAAATCAAGGTCCACTAATATCTTTTAAAAAAAAAAATCTTTTAATGTTGATAACTTGGCTTCAGATTCAGGACAAAATGAGGAAGCTTTTTCTGGAGCTAAGACAAAAAGAAAAAAGGGAATCAGCAATAAAAGAAGAGGGTAAGATGCTAGGAACACTACTGCAATTATCTCTCCAGGATAGCTGCAGATATTGTGACATAGACTATGATGAGTAAGCCACTAGATTCAAGATGTGCCTGCGTATGGAGAGCATAAAGCAGTTAGTCTTATACTAAGATTCTTAAATGTTTTTATTTTTAAAAAAACCCACTCTACCCATCATAAAATCAAAATCTAATTACACGACGTTTAATGAAGACATTTTCTAAACAGTCTCAATTGGAGCCCGTGCTGCCAAACTGAAGATGTCATCCTAAGTGAACTGTGTTACGGCGAGTAAGTCATCATAAAGGGGGTAATAAAGAGACTGTAAAGAACAACTGCTTGAATAGTTTCTTACAGGTAACGTGTTTCCTACAGGCCCATATTTGAAATTCTGTCACTTCAATAAATGAACAAATTTCTGCTTATCGCGCTATGTTGTTCAGGTGTCTCATCAGCAACATTAATTCCTACAAAACTAAACCGACTTTTCACAAAACAGAAGTCTTTAGAGCGCTAACACAATTAACTTTGTGAAGTTGTTTTATTGAAGAGGAAAAAAAAAATTTTTAAGTACTGTGTTGGTTTCTGTATTTAATGTAAGAGTCTATCGTATCTTGACTTTGCAGCCAACACAATTTTTTTTAAGCTAAATCTTGGATGAAGGAAGCTATAAATGTGGTTTACTTAACGTGTTCCAGTTATTCTGTCTTAATTTGAACATAAGACAGTGTTGGAACTGCACTATCAACTGGAAAACTTCTGAATTCTGGTTAAGCACATTTTGCTCCTGGTCATATTGGCTGCTTAAAGTGTACTTCAACACAGCTTGAACTGATTTGGATTTGTTAAGTCTTCCTCTTCTGTCATCTCGCTCTCCTGCCCCGATTTGTATTCCTGCCCTCCAGCGCAACGCTGTGCAGAAATCTTTCGTTCTCCTGCACCGTCAGGCCAGCGCCTTTGCTCTTTGAAAACTGTTGTCGCAATTTCTACAAATCCTGGAAGAAAATGACATAATCTTGAAGGCTGTTGCTCTTCTGCCCGTGTTACATATTAATGTTGTTACCCTCCTCTTTCCATCCCCTCGCGCGAGCAGCTCAGCCCAGACTGACGTACCTCTGTCATCAGGGCCGGCGAGGCCGGGCCTGCCTCCTCGGCAGAACCGTGTGAAGTCCTAGCAATCTCTCAGCGTCACTTTAGGAGAGGATTAGCTCTTTAATTGTTTTTACATAAGTACCGAGATGATCATAGCTTTTATATGTCAGTGCTTGCTGCAATTTTTTTCCCCTTAAACACCAACCCAGTGAACAGATTTTCACCATTTGTGGCTGCTCAGTCATTTGGTACGGCTTTTTAATCTCTGGAGGCCAGATGGAAGCGTGATCCTTCAGCACTGCTTGTTTTGCATAATGTGGGGATTGGAACTACGTTTCAACAGCACATAGTCATAGATGTGTAAGTATATAAATATTTTTCTTTTCCATCCATGTATTTTCTCTTCTAATGTTCTGGTTTTCTTTAATGAGTTTTCTACAGGGAAAACTGTCAGGAACAAGTAAATGCTATGCCCTGACAGAAGAGTCTGACGCAGAAGCAAGCAGTGATTTTGGCCAAGGAGACTGGTGAGAAGCTGACACTCAAGTGGTACATTCCTGAGACAGCTGATGACCTGCCTTGGTTTCAGGGCACTGATAAAACTGCTCTTGGACTGATCTGGAATGATACGGTGGTTTGTTTTTTTTTTTCCTTTAGAAGCTTTATTTCAAGGTCTCCTACAACCCTAACTTTGATTTTAGTTGTATTAATGGATTTGTTCTCTGCTGTCAGACTGCAATCAATTGATTGAAATCCATAAATAATAAACATCAAGCTTCAATTGAAGATGCAGTAACAAGATGCTATCGGAAGAAGTGTACGTACTTGAGCAGCTTTTTATAGCTAACTCCCTCCAGAGTCAAACGCTGACACGTTCGCAGCAATCGGGAGCCAATGGCTTTCCCGCGTGTGTGTCGGAGCCCACGTGACAGATCCTGTACGGCAACTGAAGGAGAGGGCACCCGTGCACCTGTCTGGGGAAGGGTTATGTAAAAAGTTCTGCCACATATCTTAGCATCCACCAGTAAGCTGAGCAACTTGACCTGCTTTAGCCTTTGTAGGATGTACAATATTAAATTAGCAACAAGAAACAGAAAAAAAAAAAAAAAGACATACTAACATGAAAAAACACATTTTATTGCACTTAAGTTATAAGAAAATAAAATTTCTAAGTGAATCAAACCATAGACACAATCCCTTTAAAGGTTTTCCTCCATGTCAGGTTGTTACATAACTAAAATTAACCAACTGGAATCTGATTGTTTCAAATCAGACTATAAATAAAACAAAACAAAAAAAAAAGGAGGAAAAAAGATCGCCTAGGATACAGTGTTAAACCACTTTCACAGTTCAGCTTGAGTTGTGGCTCTTGGAGAATGAGGCAAACCCTTTGACTCTTTCGTTTCGCGTTTTGTTTGCATGTGACATCTTTACAAAAACTTCAGTTTTTGCTCTGTCAGCTCCTCCCAGCAATAACTGTAACAGTTGTTTTTTTCTCAAATACTGTAAAACACTAAGACTGACCAGCAACTTTATTTTCATTTTTGTATTTTATAGTATTTTTTAAAAATTTTGTCAGTTTTTTACTGTATGTTCATTCCATTCACCACAGCCCTCACAAAGAAAAATTTCCCCACAGAACAGGCTGCAATAGCTTTGTTCTAAGGAATGTGTTTTCATTTTTGCCCAGAAAAAAGAAAATAAGCTTTGCACACACACTCAATTCTTTATTTGCAGGCAAACTTCACTCTTAATTGTCTGAAACTCTTCCACTCTCAGCCTCTTAGAGGCACAGTTGGCTCAAGTTTCAGTGGCAAAAAGTCTTTTTCTGTAACCAAACTAGAGCAAATTTGGAATTCAGTCTGGGACTAAAACGTCACAGCAGAAAAAAAAATAAAAAAAAATAATTTGCTTTTCTTTCTTTCATTTAGCAGCATAAATAAGTTTGGCCACTGGGAATACAGTACAGGGGTGGGACAACAATCCCGTAATTGAAGACCTACTTCTAGCACCAGCATTGCGAATTAAATCCATCAGAGGACTCTCAAAACCCAGGACAACTTGCCACCTCAGAGCAACTTCTGCGTTGAAGAGTGTAGATGGAAGCAACAGTAAATAGATTCAACGGAGGCTAATACTGTGATTGACATTGGCAATGGTTGGCAAAAAAAAGAGGAATAAAAGAAAAAAAAAAGAAAAAGCTCTGATGAAACTGTACAAAACAATTCACAGTAATATTTTAGCTTTTCCACACTAGGAATGGACTCGTTGGTTTTGTTTGCTTTTCTCGTTGCGGATGCTCTCTAGTTTTTGGAAGTCAACCAGTGACTGCTCGCGGAGGTTGGAAGGGACCTCGGGAGGTGCCCGGCCCAACCACCGGCTCAGAGCGGGGCTACGGGCCAGCGCGTTGCTTGGAGGGGCTGCCGGGACCCCAGGGGTGCACGAGCAGGCTCGCCTGTGCAGCTTCTTTCTTTGTGGTAAAATAACCTGTTAACAAGAACTGTAACAATTTTTTTGTGTTTTTTTCACCTCCGAATGGCTCAAGGAGCAGTTGGAGGGAAATAAAGAAATAATTGCACCTGGTTTCGTTTCAAAAGTCGTATATTTGCAAAGCTGCCCCGGTCAGAAGTGTAGCCTTTTTATGTGACGAGACAGTAAATGCCGCTCTTGTCAGTTATAGTTTGTCGTCTTTGTCTTCTCCTTCGTAGTCTGTAGGTCTTTAGGATCTGTTGCCCCAAGCCAACATCCTGCACCACCAAGGACAAGGGATTTTTTTTCCTTTTTCTTTTTTTTCTTTTTTCTTTTTTTTTTTTCAGGGGGAGGGAAAGGAGAACATCGTCTGTACGTTTGGACAAATTCATCTCTCTGCCCTTCACTTCATATCCACGTCAAAGTCCAACACCAGCAGCTTTGTTTCCTCAGTCCCGTTGCGGCTCCCCACCGCACACACCAGCTTTGTGTTAGAAGCTCTGATCCGCCACACGACGCCTCCGCTGCCCCCGCTCTCCAATGTGACTAGATTTCGGATAAATTCACCCGTTTTCAAGTCCCAAAGTTTTACAGTCCCGTCGTCTGAGCTGGTAATTACAAAGTTCTTGTTGAACTGTAAACAGGTCACAGCACTCTGATGCTTGTTGGGACCTGTAACAGCAAACCAAAGCATTTGCATTTGTAATGAGAAAGCAATGTCAGACAGCCCCGCGTATGAAATAAATACCTCGCTATTTGCATACAGCTTGTTCTACCTAGACGTGTTCACTCAGCTTCTGTGCGTTAAAAGCTACGAAGCCTTTCTGTGCTTTCAGAAAGTGAATACAGGCATAGAAAACCCCTCAGTGTTTCCCCTGTTACAGTGATCTCCTCTTGTTGTAAGCGAGCAGGGGGGCAGGTGTGCGCTCAGACACTCATGCAAACGGACTTCACCACCCAGGAGGAGGTGACCGCTGTGAGCCTCTGTCTCCAAGACCCTCTGAAGTGTTGTTATGAGAATACTCTATCAGTAAATATTGACAGCTACATATTAATACATAAACATATACTGTTAAAACAGCAGAGTCTGCTTTACAGTGAAATTTAATCTTCTGCTCCAGCCAGCGATGCTGCGTATGATATATGGGAATGATGTAAGACTTTTCGGGGGGGGGGGGGAACAACCCAGTGTGTTGTGCATGGTGCCTGAGTAACTGTCAGAACGGAAATGGAAATCTTTCTTCTTACTGAAATAAAGCATCTTCCACTCATTTCTCTTGATTTATCGCAACAGACAGCGTAGTTTGCCTCCCGATCCAATTAATCAGTAGGCTTTGAAACAGCCAAGTGACCCCTAAATAAATACATTGACTGACTGTTTTGAGATGTCATTTCCTACATATTTCTGTGGCTTATTAGGCTAATATACCCGTAGCAAATTGCTATCAGTCCAGACCATCTGCCTTTCATAATAGGCAAGTGATTTGAATAGATTAGCTTAAATACATTTTGTTCTTCTAATTCAGAGAAAGATCATACAGCTGCCATCAGAACAATATTTAAGTTGTAAGTGGTTTGTGCTTGTTTCTTTGGATGTCACTATTTTAAAGCTTTTTTATATAGACTCTGCAGCACAGGTTACGGCAGGCAGCTGGATTTACATGAAGGTAGTTTAAGCTCACCTAAGAGAATATTTTTCTTCAGTTCCATTCCACTGGTGAGAGACTGGTGGCCTGTTAGCGTGTGAATGCAGTTGCCTGTCTCCACATCCCAAACTCGGATGGAAGTGTCAAGAGATCCGCTCACCACATGGACACCATCGAACTACAAGAAAGGTAAATCTATTACAAACAATTACATTGGGATCTTACGCAGAGGCTACTAAGCACTAGTTCACTAAAGGCAATGTTAGATTCTATATATATTCAGAAACTGCATTACAAAGTAAGAATTCAGTCTAAGCAGAGACGACCACGACTGATGCAGAGCAGGTGCTTCACGCTCAGTGTAACAGACGTGGGGCAGGAGCTACGCAGCGCGAGGAGAAAGACTCTGAGCCCCTGGTCTTTTAAATATAATGCAGCTCTCTGGAACGCAGCCAAATCCTGACTGTACTGCAGCGTGCAGCAGTAGGAGAACGTTGCTTTCCTAATAAAGACGTTAACAAGCCAAACTTGCTTTTCACAAGTCAGAGGGACTTTAAGCTGGAGAAGGGCAACAACATTAATCCAGAACCATCTACACAGAGGCAAAACCATAGAAATATGGAAGGAACGGAATTGAGAAAATCTGGGTTTAGCCATTTTATAATCATAATTGTGTGCAGTAAGGAACTTTAACTTCCTAGTCATTGTTGGGAAAGGTATACAGGCTAATGCAGATGTCCACATTTTTGGATTTTCTGAGCTGAGAAAATAAAAATATGCAGAACATGAACATGGAGAGAAATTAGCTCAGAGATGAGACACTTTTGACCAAGAGGACTGAACATGTAGAGAATACAAAGGTGGGAAGTAACTTGTGTGACAGTGACAATGACATAAGAGTCCAGACTTCTCAAAAAAAGGAAGGAAAAAGAGCCACAGAATAAAACCAGTGGGCTTCGAGGAGGAATACTTCAATAAATCGGGCCTTCCTTTCCATGAGGTTTTTATACATCTGTTCTCTGAGGGGAAGAAGAGTTCAGGGGAGTTGGCACTTTCTTAAAGACACAAACTATCCTTGTGTGAAGGAACGATAGGAAGTGTAGTAAATTACCAAGACCCACTTGGCTAAAGCACAAGGAATTGTACGAAAAGTAGAAACTAGATCAATAGATGTATTTAAAAGAGCACACTGGGACAAAATCAGAAAGGCAGGGCACAAAACAAGATAAAAACTAGCAAGAGCCGTTAAGGGTGATAAAACACTATTCTGTTTAAAAAAAACAAGGCGGCGGCCAAAATAGAAGAGCTCATTTATGCTGCAGGGGAAGGAAACACCACGCGAGGCCAGCTATTTAACTTCGTTTCCTTCAGTCCTCAGCCATCTGAGTGTAGGCTCACAGCACTGACACCACTGGCAGCTGAGTACAAGCGTTCGCTAGAATGGGGAAAACCCCCCCCATAAGGCAAGTTGTTTAAGACAAGCGCAGAGACATCTGCTGCTGTCTTTGAGAACGCGCGGCAGACAGACAAGGTTTCCGATGGCAATTACAATTCCTTATTGAAGGAGATGATGAGGTGAGATGGGGAACTGGGGATCAGTCGGCCTAACTTCAGTCTCCAGAAGGAACTAACGGATAATCAATGCCCTGCGCAATGTGGTAAGCAGCAGCAAACATAGATTTCTGGGAAAATGATCTTAACGAATGAGATGATTGTTTTTTTTCTGTGACGCAGTGAAAAGCCATGTGAAACAGCAGATGTCTTCGTTGTATTTTCACAAAGCTGGTGGCAAATTTGACATGGGGATACTATCCCGTTCAGAACTTTGTTCCCAGCATTATTAGAGATACCAGAAAGAGTTCTTCAGGGACTGGCATTCAGTACTTTCATTAGGATTTGGGTGCCGTTTGAAATGGTAGAACTGACCCAAAGCAAAGAGTGTAAAAGTCAAGAGAAAACTGTGAAGCTCTGAGCTTGGCAGGGAATGAATGAAGGTACAGCTGCAGCCTGGGAGAATGAAGGCTGGGCACGAGTCTTCGCTGCAGCTCAGGCAACCCGACACGACTTGTGGACTGACTGCTGCCTAACAATGGCAAAGAACCCAATTAAGGGAACTCAAGCATCTGAGGCTGCTGCTTTTTATAAAACCTGCAGAAAACAGACATTGTAGATCTCTACAGTCAAACGTGGTTGAGCATGGCACCTAGGTGCAAAAGAATGTAGAGCGACTGGCACATAGGGACTGCTTATCTGCAGTACGCATTTCTGGCGACAATATACTGAAAAAAGACACTCTGGTATTTGAAATAGTGGTACGCTATACCAGGCACATAAAATAACTTTTCACTTCCAGTAAGCGTTGATTAAGACTTTGAATGGAATTCCGCATCCTGTTTTGGGTACCCTGCTTTCAAAAGAGAATGTGAACTACTTTGAGTTCAGATAAAAGGAGTGCTATGTAGCCCAGCAGACTCACTGGAGGGAAACACTACAGCATGTTTTTCTTTGCTAAACAGTACTAAACCAGGCTGATGTAACAAATTTTGAATTCTTTCCCTCCTTCCCACAGATTGTATTCCAAGTACCTAAGGTATTCAGAAAGAGAGCTTTAAGGCTGGGCAGCAAGACAAACTTTACTCTGATACTGCTATAGTCTAACAGACAACGGTTTGGATCAGTGGTTGAGCTGTTATCCGTGAACCCTGAGGATCTGTGGATTACTTCAAAGGCAGCTATGAAAGAGTAAGAAAACACAACACGGTCAGTAGTCCTTAATTGCCGCATAAGGATCTCTGGAAAATGTTAAGGAGTCTACAAATGGGGAAATACTGGGGTGTAACAGGATCTGCCGTGGACAGGCTGGTTGTTCAGCCTCATTATTCAACTGATGGGAGTTCTGCTGTTTGGGGTTGTTTCAGGCCAAAGGGCAGGAGCTCACCAGGCAATTTTAAAGAATCTTTCTGCCCTAAAACTGTAAGCACCTGTAGCCTCCTGCCCCCTAGAAATTTGTTTCAGAATGCCAAGTTCTGTTACAGGGTGTAAATAATACCGGTATGTAACATAACCCAATTATTCAATCCATTATTACTGCAGTATCAGAGCAAGACATGAATATTCATAAGCCAAAACACGAGCCACTGGTGAAGGTAAGGCAGAATAACATACACTGTTCCCAAACTGCCCTAGATGAAATACAACCTTCAGAATATTTTTGAGAGGCAGGTAGGTAGTACAGCATTTTTGACTTGCTTGCCGCTTGTTTAGAGAACACTCCTCAGCATATGCATGGAAGAGGAGGGCTGGAGGTTTTTGATAAATTTTACTACATATTTTGCAAAATGAAACCAATTAGGTATTTTGTTCATATTTTATCTATTATGGCGAGATGCACCTTATGGAAGATACACTGTAGGAAAAATGTCTCTAGCACTGAGCTTCACCTTCTGAGCCACAAACCAGAGTAGTTACACGCCGAATGCAATTTCCTGATTTTGAACTGTCTTTGTGAATTTCTTTTTCAAGTCCTGCCAGATTGTGGTGAGAACAGGCACAAGCATGAAATTAATTTCTTCGCCTTTCAACGCCTGGAAGTGATGCGCTGACTCCATGAATGAACAAGATGATCTTTTAGGTTAGTCAGGGTAAGGGGAGTCCACATGAGGTCCATGTGTGTCTTTGCCAGCTTCATTCTGATGAGCAGTCGGGTGACTGGCAGGCAGCAGAGCCGTGCCACGGAGCAGTACCGTAATAACCTGCACCCACAACACCACCTCTCTGTTGACAAAGCCTCCCGGTTGTAGATCTGGCCTCTACTCAGAGAAGAGGAAGTAGAAGGCTGGAGATTTACATCGGAACATTAAAATTTTAGGTTCAGCCTTACTGAGAATTACAGATTGGAACTGGAAGATGGGACTACAAAATAAGAATAAACAGATCTGCATAATTCAGAACATTAATCCAGTGGGGTTCCTGGGCACACTTTCCATTACTGTATCATCTGATTTATTTAAAACAGTTAAATTTAGAATGTCTTCAGGGAAAGCACAAACATAGCTCCAAAATACATGCAAGATTTCAGAAAAATCACAACAAACCAGAAACAACCCAAGCAACCCAGGAAACTGCTTAACTTGCTGGGATAGAGACTTGGGCTTTATTGTACTGGGTGTTTTAAAAAAAATGCTCCTCTTAAAAAAAAATCTCAGTTTCTGAATTAAGAAAACTTATAACTAGCTTAACAAAATGAAAGAAGGGACTGTCACAGATGCGTCTATATTCTTGTAGCCTGTATAATTCTGGAGTAGGTACCCACAATTTAATAAACAAGGTGAAATACAGTGACTTTAAATGTTACGTAAGGAGACCAAAGCAGCAGATGAAAATCGCATACCTGTAATGAGTAGACTCTGTTGGTATGCCCTTGCAGTGTATGCAGACAGGTCTCTGTCTCTGGATCCCACACTTTGACCATAAAATCATATGCACCACTTACAACTCTTCTGCCATCATACTGAACGCACCGAACTGCAGCTACGTGGCCCATCAGAACGTGCAAACACTGGCCCGTCTCTATGTCCCAAACTCTCAGTGTAGCATCTCGAGACCCACTGACCACCCTGGAGGAACAAGAAAACCCCTCCTGTACTTAGCATCGGACATAAAAATATTAAAACAATTAGACTTGGGTACAAATCGGTTATGAGTTGTAATTGGGGACATTCAATAGCACTAGTCCATGAGCCACCAAAGATCTGGTTTTGCATAACATTTTATTGGGATCACAAATGACTCGTGTGTTTTTCTTCCTTGTTCTATTCACCTCCTCAGGATCTGTCGATTTGATGTAATTAGCAATCAGTATTTAAAAAGGCACTTCATTCCTCAACGGCAAAACGATGCCGTGAGAAATTATGTAGACTGTTGTATCTATCTATGAAAGCTTACGAATATGCTGAGCTCCAGCCAGTGCTGTGAGCATTCTGTTTTAATGACTGAGTTAATGAATTATAACAATTAAACAAAGAGGACCTTTAGAAGTTTTACTTTTAGTAAAGTAACAGTTATTTTGCTTCATTTTTTTCAGTTTATACTTCTAGAAGCTTTTTTAGGCAAGAACAGAAATGAGGACTTAATATTAATGGAATTGATAAAGAAAAACTCATTCTTCAACAAAGAAGAAATGCAACCAACAGGCACGCTGTGAGCAGCTCCACACCACAGCCAAGTAAAAGAGCTCTGCCAATGCTTGTTGAGTCAAGACATGGTTTACTATTGCAGAAGTTGTGATATAATCAGTTAAAATTTAAATAAAATACTGCAATGACGATACTTAAAAAGTCATTCTGTAAAATCAGTAAACGTTTATAGCATTGACAAAAAAATTATTCAGAGTGTGGGGGACTGGATCACAGTGTAACAAAGAACTGGTGTTGAAATAACGTAGAATGTGACTTGTATAAAGTACATGACTCAATTTTCTGTTCTGTAATTAGTACTCTATTGCTTTTGCTTCTATTAATCATCTCTTCCCTTGTGCTGATTTATATAGTTTACTTTGAATGCTCTGCCTGGTTTGTATTTCGCTCCGTGTTGGATGAGGTGCCCAAGTTTGACAAGCATTTGGTGTGCACGCAGCTGGAAGCTACAAGCCAGGCGGTGGCTGTGGCTTTGGACAGAGCCTCACCTTTTCTCATGGAGGTGCATGCAGCGCACGGTGGAGGTGTGTCCGTACAAGGTGTGTATGCATTCTCCCGTCTCAGCATTCCAGACTTTCAACGTTCGGTCTGTAGATCCACTGATGATGATATTGTCCCTCATCTGCGAGGACCAGACTCCGCCCGTGTGCCCAACCAGTGTTCTCAAACACTGAAAAGAAATGGTTTGCTTCGTTACCCTTTCGACAGAGCTGAAAGGAAACTTAAGACAAAGGAATCTAGGTGCTAACAGCAGTCTCCTGCAGCAAGAGCCAGAAGACCCCCGGAGACGGCTCTGTGACGGAACTGAAAAATCCCACCTTTTAGAAAATACTCATCAAATTTCCCCCTCCACTGTCGGTACTTCGACTACGAGGAATTTTTCCCTATAATCTTCCCCTTGTGGTGTGGAGCTGCTCACAGCGTGAGCAAGACCCCTCTAGAAAGATGCTCCATGAAGATTCTGCATTTACATTAACAACATGATCTCTTGGTGGTAAAACTACTGTTTTCTGTTTATCCAAGAAAACTCCGCATTCTGTAGGCCGTAGCTACAGCATCAATACTGCAAAATCACGTTTCAAACCTTCTTCAACCTTCCCTGTTGCCCAGCAGAGAATCCCACGCTACCTAAGCGCAGCCCACCTCCTTTGATTCCAAATGTATGGCGTGACGTCTCACCAAGCAGAGACAGTGTTTGCTCACACCCACTTCTGTAAAACCCCCGTTGCTCCAGAACAGTGACTCGTCTCCGTCTCTCAGCCCCTACTCCTTACGAGTACCGACTATGCATGCTTTCTCACAGGCAGCAGTAAGTGCTAATTAGCAGAGAAGAAGAGATCCTTGCAAGACCCCTCTAGAAAGATGCTCCATGAAGATTCTGCATTTACATTAACAACATGATCTCTACAATTGCCCACTGTCTAACCCATTTAAATATGTGCCATGTTGATTTTTGCATTGCTCTATTTTCTTCAGTCATGTCACGGGGCTACATTCTTGCAGTGCACATAGCCATCTATTTCTGCACTAGTATTTTTATCAGTCAAACCTGCAACTGCATGAGAAAAGAGGTCAAGACAGTTTTATGATCTCTTTTTCTGTAATCTAATGCTAAGTGGCATTAATTGCCGTGGCCTTCCTTTCACTGTTAGTTGACTCCTCTTGCCGTAGTCCAGTATTTTTTATCTGAGATAATGTATCCTAAGTACCCAGCCTTTCAGTTTACTCCAGTTAAATACTGCCACGTTTTAGCTTTCTGGCCATCCTTTGGATCTTCTCCTTGTGCTTCTACCTTTTGAAAAAACACCCGATTTTACTCCACAGGTTACTTTAGAAAAAAATCATCAAATACAGATTATCTGCATCAACTGTAATACGAAAAATGGTAACTTTGGTAGTTGTTAACATCCTTGTGAGTTCCTGCTGCAATGAAGTGTTCTGTTTCCACTGCATGCTGTATTTCCATCACATGAATTTTCTCCCCAAGTCAGTCGTTTTTCTCCATCAGTAACAGTATCCTAATTTCTGTTGTTAATATCCTGTTCTTTCTAACATCCTTGAAAATGCCTTGCTTTTTTGCTGTACACGGATTTCCTGTTCTTTAACATTTTTAACCAGTCGTCTGCAATTCCTGGTTCCTAGCTTAATTCACCGCTATCAAATCCATCTTTTTCAGTTCATAGCTCCTACTCACTTTTACAGCTCCCCCTTTTTTCAAAATTTTAACCAATTTGCTCATATTTTAAGAAATCATCCTTCTGAAGCAGTAACAACACAGAATACTTATTTTGGGCTTCACATCTGTCAAGGGGATTATTTAGTCATGTTCATTTGCACAAACCAACCTTTAGGGCTTTTTTGTTTTATTAATTCCTTCAGCCCAGTGAGCATGAGGGCTGATACAGCACTATTCCATCTTTCATATACAATTTTTGGCTCTCTTAAAGGCGCGGGATAAATGGTCACACTAGGATTTGTAATTACTTTCCAAAAGTTACTGAATATGAATTGTTAAATCATGCTACTACGATCAGTTTTGTATATTTAAAGGAATATCTTGCTTCTGAGAGGGTGGTACGTACAAAGGAAGTATTTTTTGTTTCAGGCTGCCCTTTTCAATTAAAAAATGTAAATTTCAGTATGGGTTCCTTCATTAGACAGTTTGTTGTAGGGAAGCCAACAGAGGCAGGGTGAGGCTGCCTATTGCTTTTAGCTTTGTTCTTCCCCACAGCAGTATTTACAATCCCATCAAGGATCTCTGAGGCATGCAAAGACAAATGCTCAATGCATTCAGCTTCAATACTATAAAGTAGATACTTTTTACATCTTAAATGTTATCCTCAATATCTGTCCTGTTGTTCACGTAACTGTATCATTAAAACAAAGCTAAGTACGCACAATACTAGTCTAGAAGGAATAAAGTACTGTTTCCCTGAGGCCTCTTCTATATCCTTGAGCATGGTCAGTCAGTCACCTGAAAAAAAATGTATCTGTGTGCTGAGTAGCTGTGATGTTCTAATGTGAGTGAAATGTTCAGTACTGTCTTTTTGATTGCACATATTGTTTTGCTTCTCTAAGCCAAAATTAAATGATTTAAGCTTATTAAATTCCTGCCTGAGCTAGATCTAATTTAATAGGAAATATTTAAACCTAAAACAAGTTACGTGGGTTTTTTTTGGTGGCTCAGCAATATAGTAGCTTAGAAAAAAAACAAACCCTGTGTTTGACATGCGAGCCTGTAAAATGAACACCCCATTTCAATAACTGGAAAACAACAGAAAGAATTCTAGAAGACAAGTGAGAAAAGGAGATCCAGAGGGGTAAAAGCAGGCTGAAGTAAGCTTTAAGGAAGATAAAGTAACGTAGCTGTCCACATTCTTTAGAATCCATGTCACAAACGACTCCACAAGAATAGCACAACTGCCAGGAGAAGAAGGATATATGCCAGTGGTAACAGCAGCAGCATTGCAATTTCGCATCAAGGTGACTTTTCTGAACTAGACTAGTTTCTGTGTAGGAAAAGATGACCCACATGTTTACTGCTACTTTTTGCGATTCGTGCACCGTCCGGCACTACAGACCACCCTGCCGCGCGGTCTGATGGCTCAGCAGCATTTCTGACACACCAGTGCGCTACCTGTAGCTCATCCCCTGCGGAATCCAGCAAAAATCACCGACTTACCTTGCCTGTAACTGCTGACCACACTTTGAGTGTGTTGTCGTCCGAGCCGCTCACTATTCGGTTCCCGCAGAACTGAAGGCATGTGATCACGTGGTCATCGTGGCCTTTGAGCACCTGACAATAACGAACATAAAAATGTACAGCCACAATTTAGCGCAGGAGATTAGAGAGCAGCAGAAGAAACAAAGTGCTCTTCTGATTCATAAATTACAAAATGCTAGAGTTGCTTCAATAATAATAAGGCCCCTTAATCCTGTGTGTCAAGTCTAATTTACCGCCAGCTGGGACCAAAGACGGTATTTTCCTTCTTCCATGGAGCGATACCACATTGCTTAGCAAGCACACGACAGCTATTGTAAGCCTCCTAAAAGTACCAGGAAAAAAACACTAATAAAAGTAAGCTCAATTAGTAACCGGACATTGCTCAATTCCTCTGCAGTTATTCCATCTCGTTATTTTTCAGTTGAGTTACTTCTTTTACCTTTTAAGAGTTGTTTCAATATTGAACAAAAAAGATGGGGCTGTATTATCTGCTGCATATTTGTATTTTGGTGGTTAAGGCTGACTGTATCTATTTTCTTTTCCCCTTAGCAGCCAAGCATTGTAATCTATTAAATGCCAGGCAACACCACAGTCAAAAACTAGAAAACTGTCAACTCAGTTAAACACAAACAAAAGCGGCAATTTCACGTGCTGGAGATGTGGATTGGAATGTTGCTTTACAGGTGGGATTTTCGGTGTTTGATTTGGGAAAAAACACAATTCAGTATATTTTATTGCAATACAGCAAAAATATCCTTATCAGAATATATAGGATGAGGAATTTTTAATTTAAGGTATCTGAACACTTTTCAAGATGTTCATTGAAATGAAATGGGCATTTGGATACCGCCCGAGGCTGTAATTATAATAATTCCGAGATAACTTGATGTGGCGTATCAAGGCAAGAAACAGAGAGCTATTGCCAGACATGCACATAAGTCACGGCCAAATAAACAGCGCACTATAGCCATAGGTTTTCCACGGGTATGTTTTTATTCTTATTTTTATTATTTTATTGTACAATAATCAAGCAAAGAGGCAAACTGCCTTAAACCCTTAAAAGGCTATGAATATGGGTTTTCTTGATGTTTTCTAACTGCTTGTACAATACCAGGTTTGATTAGACAGTTGCTATTTTATTTTACAAAAAGTTTGCAGTATTGCTTCATGTCTTCATAAAATAGCTATGGAGTATTTTTATATTGTGACATGACCCAGCTCTACAAATACACACATATATATCCGTATTTATACATTACATATGTGTGTGTATGTTGAATTTTACATTTAAGTATTTCCAATCAAGTTTCTGAGATTATCTGTCTCAAAGAGACTGGCATATTTATAGGAATTCATGAAATTGTACAGAAATTTTTAGAACAGCAGTGAAAGAATTCTGCTGTATGAAGAGTCACATTTTGATTTGCTAATGTGGTGCTCAGAAATTAATTTAAACCCAGGGTAAGCTAAAATACAAATCATTTTTTTTCTGTAACAATAAATTGCTTTTTGTGCATGGATAGTCTGCCTTGTCCAAAGGGGAAAAAAAAACCCCCACAACCTTACGAGCTGATCCGGCTTTGTACACGGCACCATGCACACAGCTCAGAAACTCACCTTGGGCGATTTAAGTTCTCCTCGCCGCCAGTTGGTATCAATCCTGTGTTGTCTGATGTAGGCGCTCTTCCACGGACTGTGTATAAAGCCTGGTTTTATTACTTTCCTCCTTTTGATATGTAATGGTTCATCAATCCCTAAAATGAATTATTAAAAAAAAGGGGAAAGGGGGAGAGATGAGGCCACCCCAAACAGAACAACTCCTCTCCCTCCCAAACCTTCAGAGCGACCTCTGACATTCGCAGTGATGTAACCACCTCCCGCGTGCTGTACCTGCACGGTGTGTCGGTGGCACTGCCCTGCTCCTCAGCTCTTCACACCGCATCCTTCCTTGTCATTTACACATAATCACTGCCATAATCATGGCTGAAAAATGCTCTAGTTCGTCACTCCTCGCTGGCAACCCAGTAGCTTGTTCTGAATCCCCCTTTCCGAGGCAATGCAGCACAATATTGCCTTTTTCAAATGGGTATCGTCCAACAAACCCTATAACCACTCAGACACTCATTCTGGAACCCTTTGAAAAGGAAACCTTTCTGCCTGTGGTCCTCCTCCCTGGCCACCCATCTTCATTACCTTTTAAGTTCACTGGGACTCTTGATATTAGTGAGCTTTTAATTCCTTTCTTGATTTGAAAGGCTGTATGCTTTTGGCTTTGTCCTTGTCCGCCTGGGGTTGAAGTACAGCTGTGCCCTTTCTGAACTGACACTTAAGTGGCATTGCTTTATTTTAGCGGTGCTACTACAGATCTATCCTTTTTTTTCCCCCCTCACACATCTCTCTTGTCTAGGCAGCTCCTCCCCCCGCCGCATCTCACTGCTAGCAAGAGTCTTGTCTCGTGCCAGTGCATGGACTTCACTCTTCTTTTAGCCCCTGCTCAGGTGTCTCTATCTGCAAATCCTGATTTAACTGCTCCTTCGCATTACTGAGCAAAGTCTAAGCAGCCTACAATATTGTTTTGTTTGTCTGTGCTCTCATGCCTGGCCATATTTATTTTTACTTCTAAGCTCACAAGTGTAGGCTCCTTCCCCTCTCAACCTTCTCCTTTTTTCTCATTCTGTTCCATTCTTTTACAATTTTCACTGAAATTTGTAAAAGAGGAGAATCTTTGGAGAAGATCTAAGAGGTTAGACACCTGGCTTCCACTACAAAAGAAAACGAATTAATTTAGGTGCCTTTACAAACAGCCAGCGACATTCACATTGTCGTGTTTTTTAAAGCCTTTGCATCGACCTCTCACAAGTTCTTGTCCCCACACTCCGAGGCAGCCTGGACAGGTCCCTGTTTGCCTGTTCTGAAATCGCATGCATGTGCTCTGCTCCCCAGAACAGACTCCTTGTTCATATAATTCTTCTTAAAAATAAAAACTCACATCCAACACATGCTCAAACACATGACTACTTTCCTGTGAGCCTTTTTTTTGCCCATTCACATTACTGCTGACCCACCCTATATTCTTGATTTGGCAGGAGCAGGTGACAGCCATGTGGCTTATGGATTGTGTGTGCCCCTCTTAGCTCCTTCTCCCCCTGCCATGTACCCTTTGTCTGCTAATTTTCCTACAAATGATGTGCAATTGCAGCATCCCTTCTACTTGACCACCAAAACAGTTTTTCCTCCATGCTATTTACAAACTGCAAGACTACACCCCTATCATTCTTACATCTCAGCTCTTATTTGCTTTGGTTGTATTTTGAATAAAAATAATTATATTTTAAAAACATGTACCTAACATACTTTATAAATAGGATGTTCAAACTTAACTCTAGTTTCATGTCTAGTACTTCATGGATTACTTCTGCTTCTTACTTCCAGCAGAGATACATACCACATAGCTCAAGGCCTCACTAACAGTAAATTTAAAGTCTCCCAAACTGCCTTCATAAAACTTTAAGCTTATTATGTAAATGAACTGCACTTTTTACGACAGCAACACTTTGACGATTACATCCATCTTTCTGCTCAGCCTTACCCTCCTCTTTGCATTTCTCTCTCCAGAGAAGATTATCTTCAGCCAGAATTCTCCAGTAACGGCATGTCTGGGCTGCCTGCAGAAGGTCCCTGGGTTCCAGGAATGACAGCACATACAGTGCCAGCTGTAAAAAAGAAAAAGACAGTGTATTCTGTGCACTGCTTTTGAAAGGAAATGTAAAATAGCCCAAGTATTAGCACACATCAGGGCCTGAAATACAGAGAATTGAAACAATACATTATTAAGGTATCTCAGAAACTTAACAGAGCTACAGTTTATTCCAGTGGGCACGTGAAAGTGTAGCAATCATCTTAAGTAACTAAACTCCATACACATCACATCAGAAATTATTCTTGTATTTGCAAGAGAGCAGATGTCAGCTGAAATCACTATTATCTTTTTTTAACATATAATCCACATTACTTTGAACCAGTAATGGAATTATTACTAAAATAATTATGTCTATGTTATTTTAGGTAAGAAGTACACCGAAAGTTATTTTGAGAGTTTAACTAGCAAATACAACACTCACCATGTGAGCAAATGGGAAAGTATGTTGTGATGAGTAATGTCACCCAGCACGCCTGAATCCAGAAAAAGTAAACGCTATGAGCACGTGAGTTGAAGAGCTGGCTGCCACCGCAGGGAACGCAGCAGCGTACGTCTCGCTCATTTTCTGATTAGAATGCACACACACTGCGAAGCGGTGTCACAGGGAGTTTCACGGACTGAAATACGCAACGCACACCGCTACCAGAAACACAGGGGGAATCCCAGCAAGCACCAGAAGCTAAACAGAAGATGAACTTCTCCATGTGACAAAACCGAAGGTTACTGGGAGAATTCAGACATGACCACAGTTAAACCCCTCAAAATCTCCACAACTATCTTCAGATGTATTCATGTCTTAAGCAGGGACAGAGACATCTAAAACACAATCCAAAATACGGGGAGAGCTATCCTTAAGGGTGTGATGGCCAAGCACAGCTTTTCTACTTGACAACAACAATGCATCTCCCCAGTCATGGAAAATGGAAGCGTTAGAGGCAGTAAAGTCCCTTCCATGGCTAAAAACTCTGCAGAAGGAACAAAATTGATAAAAAGTGATGCAGAGAACTACTTACATGCTGCAACCGTGGGATCTTTGTCAGTAACTAACAGGATGCAAAAGTTGTCAGGGAAATCAGATCATCCACTGCTACTTCTGCTTGACGTATCTTTTTGTGTTTAGGATTTTTTATTTCATCTTCAGCTGGAGTTATGATGTAAATAAATAGAATCTGCCCTTTGAAGCAGCACAGACTGAAATTCAGTAAGGAAGTCCTAACCGTAGGCTGTTGACCTCAGTAGATTGCTGACCTCATTACGCGAGAAACGTTTACTTTCAGTCATCTAGGCCAGGCAGCGACGGAGCAGCAAATAAAAATTCAGCACGCCAGAACTGTTTGCATTTTGACTGCACACACATGTCGTTTGCAAGTCACCACCTGCAGCGCACACTGAGCACGTAGGACTCCACATTTGAGGGACCTGTGTCTGAAGTTACGCATTAGATCCCAGGTGCACTCGAGGCCATAAAGCTGAGGAATCTTCCCTCCATCCCTACTCGAGGAGTCAGCATTTAGGATCTGTGTAAGGCGCTCTGTCACAAGAGCTGCAACTGTGCCGGTCCTTTTAAACTTTCCGTCTTAATTCCTGCTATGAAAAATTATTTTAAGAAGTGCTGTTTCCTAGCACACATCAGATAGCCCTGCACGCAGCAAGACTCAAACACGAAAGAGATCCTTTCTGTTTCTGCTGGGTGTTCCTTAACTGACAGCAGAGTTTGTTTAAATAGCACTTGTCCTAGCTGTACAGATATGGATGCCGCTAAGATGGTGTTAATTAAATGCTGCGAGCCAACTGCTGCTAAACCAGGTTACATGCGGGTGACATTTATTTTAGACTGTATTTATCTAAATAGTCATCTAGGGTCAACACAGCCCACAGTTGACTTTAAGATTAGCAGTGCATAAAGGATGACGTCCCTTTGTCTCAGCTCACGGATCTAGTTATCATAAAACTTCACGTAGCAAAGATCTAACCTTTGACTCAACTGTGACTACTCTCTGCTGTAGTGGCAAATAATACACAGTAATAAGCAGTCTCTCGGCTTTTTCTTCACTCATGCACACGGCACCAACACAATTTCTGTGGCTGATTTCAGCAAAACTCCTGATCTGTTGGTTTCTAGACCTGGGCTTCACAAACAAGTAATTTTAATAATTATTTCTAAAGTCTCAGCAAGAAAACAGAAGTATTCATTCCAGATTGTTTGGCTGCATGTTTCCTCAGAAGGAAAGCAAACGTTTTCTTGATTATTCAGTTACTGAGTTACTGTCTTTGCGTTGCTGCAAACATTTTTGAAGACAAGCAAGCCCTCCTGTCCAAATCGTCTTCTTGTTCTGGTCAGGCAATAAAAACACTGCGTTGCATCCAGCAGCACTGGAGACAACTACAGACGTGAATGAGGAGCAACAACTGGGGAGAGCGCGTTGCCACAGGATGCCGGCTTTGACAGGGAAGCCCGTTTACAGAACTACCGACCCTAAACACTTCCTCTTGCCCCCACAGCTCAGTTCGTCACCCCGTACTGCAGCCAGGGTAAGCAGCTGGGACAGCATCGCTTAGGAGGTCTGGGTGAAGAACGGTCTTCAAGAAGGAGAGAGGAGATGGTGGCGTTCACTCAGTGGGGTTTTTTGTTTAACTCGGCTAATTTTGGTGACAGCGACTTGGGGTTAGGAAGCTGAAATTATTTAAGCCAGCTTTCTTGTGACATCAGCCTTTCACGAAGCTAAGCGCTTGACAATATTCTGCTTTCAAGAGGCAAGAACAACCACTAAAAATAAACAAATTAAACACCACTAACTTATAATGGAGTCAAGAAACATACACGAGAAACAAAGTTTTACAGCCAAATAGCACATCTTTTCTGTGAAGAAATTGCTAAAACTGAAATAATAACATGATCATTAGTTACAGCATAACTAGATCACTGGTCGTATTTGAATTAGTTTTGCCACTAAGTCATGCAAGACAAATCATGCAAAGACAACTGAGCTGTGAGTTACTGTCATCAATTCTGCATTAAATTTCCAGATTTATTAGACACATAAGTGGAAAAGTATCTTCTGTCTTCTCAAGATATAAAGTCTTGCTGACTTCTTCCACCTCTGAACTAGGGCTGCTTTGGGCAGCTTCTCTAGAAACATGGCAACAACGCAGAGGTCTTACTAAACTCTTCTCCCCCTCCCGTGTCCTTTCCATTCCTGAAGAAGGCTGCCATGGGAAGTGCTTCTGTAAATCCTAATCTCACATCACGTGTACTAAGTTAATACTTGTTGCATCAATTGCTTCCAACTCTTACAAATTCCAACCAGCAAGGGAAGGCTGTGACGCTCACGAGATGCTATGACAGTATATAAAGGAAAGAAGGGTCTTGTACATCTAAGTATTCAAAAATAGGATATACACCAGAAAAAAATGTCAAGAAACAGAGATGCAGAAGAGTCTTCAGGTAGTAAGACCATGTTCGACACAGCAACCAAATACGAGCACCAGAATATCCTTTCAGAAGTTGCTTTGTAACGTGTTAGTAACTGAAGACTTATGAAGACTTCAGCCTTCATGAAAATTTTCACACGGAAAACCCAACATGCAGTAGATCTGGCAACACAAAATCGACTTCCTCCCCTCTCCAAACAACAAAACCACTTCCAATTCCCCAAAATCCACCAAGGTCAGAAGTACCATTTCTAAATGAACTAAAACACGTTAATTTCACATGGGTTTATAATCCTTCATATCCACCCTCATGTTCTAGCTGTGAGGACACCAACAATTACTCTTCTGAGGACAGCATTTAGTTACACACGCTGAAAAGCACACGCACACTGAAATCTAAGTCTTAGTTTCTCTTTAACCCGACACAACATGATCTGATTTGCAGTAAAGGATTTACTGTAAGATACCCACCTAATTAGGGTTTGGCTTTATCCTTAGTGAGAAGTGCTTTTCTGTGTTTACTTTAGGGGTTTTTTTGGTAGAGATTTTAGGGCTCAGTTTGTTTAAAATAAATTCAAAGATAATATTTACAAAACCCCCACCATTTAAAGCATTACACAATAATGCTTATACTTACAGAATAATATGCAGAAAGGTCTTGCATCCAGAGGAAAATATGGTGTGCGCGTGCCCTAACAGAATTAGTTCTCAAAAAAAAGCACAATCAATCAGCCCAATTGAGATACAGAGAGATTTTTAAAGCTACTGGGATTTTGTTTAAAGGAGTCCTCCATACTTCCAGGTATCTAAATGCCCACCAAGAGATGAAGGTATGTCGGTCTGAAATTGCCGTTGCCACGTCAAGGCAGCGTACCAAATTGTGGAACTCTTTTAACATCGGTTTCCATCATTCTGTTAGCTAAACGGAACGCCATAATTAGCGTGGAAGTTTTTAAAAGGTGGCAGCTGATGCACCGCATCGTCCAACATTAACCTATATTTCTCACCTCTTTTGGGAGCAAGGAAATGAAGTCTCTTTGAAACTGGGGCTCTATCACTTGCATCATGTGTTTTACTTGTGTTGGTTCGCAACTATCAATCAGCTCATCCAAAGCAAGTAACTTCTCTGGTCCACTCCAGCTCTGCAAGGAAGAAAGAAAAAGAAACAATAAGATGAGTTTAATATACTCGTTCAGTTTATATTAGTAAGTGCTGTTGCTTTGCCAAAAAGGCAAGTTAAGTTTCCTTGTCGACCTATACACATGCATATGAAGAGCACATAAAAAGCCAGGAAGATAAATGCGCATGTTAATTACACAAAAATGAGAAGTTAATCAACACAAAATATTGAAAATTGCTACACTGATTCATAAGCTAAGAAAAGATTTGTTATACACACACATACAGATTAGCAATTAAATACATAATAATATTTAATAATAATAATTAAATTAATTAAGCTTCTTTTGAAGTTGATGAAATCTACACAGATATTACTGACAATGAAAGGGTTGCAACAGAAGGCACTTCCTCTCCGTCTTTCTCCATGGTGCACTCAAGTGAGATGATAACTTTTAACCTCTATGTTCCACCAATAGACCAAAAACTTTAAATGAGAGGAAAGGAAAGAAACTTTCTCTAAAAGTACATTATCTTATCGCCTGCTTATTGCTACGGTATGTCCCTAAGCGACAATGCTGTAATTTCAGAGTCCTGGCTATAAACCAACGTATATTTTGTAAGTATCAATTTACACTTGAATAAACAGGGAATTTTGGTAATTTTCTTACTTCACATTTTTACTAATGGGCGTCATAAAATTTGAAGATTTTAATAAGGCACTCGTCTGAGAACAGAGCAGATTAGTAGCATCACTTGTAGAAAAAAATTAATAACTGAATATACTCCACATCTGAAAAGCACATCATAAACTCATCTGTGCTCACCAACGAGTTTTGATTTGTTATGTGAAAACAATTTAAAGAAAAAAAAAATTTCTCCAGGAGAAAACAACAGCCACCGCTAACTGACTGAGCAACAGAATTAGAGCATGAATAAAGCCTTAGAGAGAAAATGAGACATTGCAGTTTTTGAGAGCAGATTCACATTCATATTCTTGAATGTCTTCTAGAGTGACATTTACAAGTAAATTAGCACATACAGACGATATTACAGTTATGGTAAGAGGCTAACTGAAATTAAAAAAGAAAAGGCAAGATACCTTACAATTAAGATTTCTGTATTCATCTGCTGTGTATCTCAGGACCTTTTTGCTCATGCTCTAAATTTCTGTTCTTTGGATTTGATTCTGACAATTAACTCTCGTCTCTGCAATACTACGACGTTTGTGTATTGTCAAGTTTCCGCAGAACAACGAGGCAAGTGAGGGAGAAGGCGGAATTTTTGAAAGTGAACGTGAAGCAGACACATACGCCGCTTTACTCGATGTAGAAAGATCATTGTGTTGGGTCGTTTCTCCCTAATTAAAATGTCAAAATAGTTTGAGGAGTATGATTTACCCGCGTGGTGACCCCCTCCGTCAGCGCCCGGAGCTGCGCCCCGAGCTGCCCAGCGAACACGGGGCAGGCACCGGGCAGCCCACCCCAGCAGAGCAGGGCAAGGGGGAGAAGCGCCTATGACCTGTGGGCCCTTGCATGTGCTGCTGGCAACTCCTAAGATGGTCGAAGCTGGCAAGAAAACACTCCCCATCTGTGTGGGTGTATGTAGATCATCACCACATGAGGTGAGGGTTTCTGTGTCTCACATCCAGTACCTCAGAATAGTACAAAGCAACAAGAGTGTCTCAGCACAAATTGCAGCAGTGCTGTTATAAACAGCTTTTATTGTAAATTTCCTTCAGTAGAAACATTTGCATCACGGAGCAGTTCTCCATAAATCATGCACTGAAGAACTGTTTATCTCACCAACTTTCCAACTGCTGCTTGTTTCATTAACCCAGAGCTTAGCTGGTGTTAGATACAAACGTCTGCAATCTTTAATCTCATTTGTCAGCCCTGTTTGAATTTAGGAGAATTTAAAAAAGGGAAAGTAATACCTGTGCTACGTCCTTATAATGTAAATTTCCAAGGTCAGTCTACCCTTAATTTATAAGCAACTGCATTTAGTAAATTAGAACAACTCAACCTGAATAGCATTGTTTTTTGCTGTGGCAAACATTGCTAGCAGTTATGAACACGTTATTAAAAATTTCACTGTACACTATCTTCATCTGTAACTCTCTTACACTTAAGATATTTCTGTTTTTAAAACATAACACAGTTCTGAACAGAGAAGGGAAAAGATTCAAGAATGGGAAAGAGATGCCAATGAATCAAAGCAGCATCCTCTTTCACCTGCACGCTCGCCGTCAGGGGATGGCTACAGGCAGCTTCCTAAGGCTCTTTTTACACCATCAGCTGCTACCAAATGTATTCTCTAGGACAATGTCCCCGTAGTCTTTCACTTCAGCAAACAAACCTCCAGCTACAGTTGGTAAGGGGTCTCTGAGGGAAATGTCTGGCATGGAAAACTGGGAGGATGCCTGGCCAGATGAACACAACTGTTTGCATTAACGAAGGCAAGACTAGTAAATTACTGTTCCTGGGCCCCGTAGCTTGAGCCGTTCGCAAAAAAAATGCACATAGCACATTGAGCAGAAAGGGGACGAAAGTTTGTGGCTTTGATGAGAAACAACAGTGAACGAATGTCGCAGAAGAGGGGAAAAAAAAAAGTGAATGTGTGCAAAGTAGTTTGCAAAGTTTCAAACACTGCAGATGACCGGAGACTTCTGAGACACGTGGCGTTGTGTCCAGATACCTTTGATTCCTACCAGGTGATTCCCTTTCAAACTGAAGATCCTTGTAAAGGATATATTTTGTCTTTGAAATGCATTGAAATGGTTTTCCTTTTCTTCAAAACTTAAGTTGAATTTTATTGTAAAATTAAAATAAAGCCTTTACTATGGGCAGAGATTCCCCTAGAAAAGGTAACTCCAGGATTCAGTCACAACCCCCTCGGGAAGCCAGCAGGGACTGCTGATACTGCTCTTTGAGACTCCTAAAGACGCATTCCCCATCTTCCTTCCCAATTCCCCGGGGAGGTGTTGTCAGCCTGGGCCTTCCGGCTGCTTCATACCATTTCCTCGCTCAGCAATGCAGTCGCTGCACTCGTGGCACTACCTGCCTGAAAACTATCCCTTCTTCTTCCCCTTTATGTTTAAATGTCTTTCCTTTCTTTTTCAGGCATGGGAAACAGCTTTAGAATAAAAATAAACAACAGCTTTGCTGCTTCTACAATGTCCCCCTCATCCCTCCTGCCTGGCCTGCCAACTACCCTTTTACCATCCTCTGGTTCCATGATCTACAGTTTCCTATCGCACAGTGCTCACCTGCTACCTCCAACTTTTACAATTACAATTTATTGCAATTAGATCCTTTTTCTATTATAGATATATTTAGGACACCTATTTTAAATTCAGGGCGCCATCCTCCGTTACTGAGTTCTGTTAATGGAGGTCTGTCGTTACAGAGACCTGCAGGAAGGGCTCTTCTGGATCTTCCTTCTGTCCGACTCCTGGATTGGCTAATGAGAACCCTGCCATCCTCCACCTCAAAGGTATCTCGGTCTAGATAAAAACAGGACATAAGCAAAATTCACTGAAAGAAAGACCATCAGCAAGCAGTTTGTGGCAACAGGTGGGGTTCGGGAGCAGTTGGTGCTGAACCTCCCGCATGAACCCATCTCTAAGATCTAGTCTGGTCCCCTGGGCTGAACATCTGCACCACACCTGACATGAACCTGTCTAGAGGAGCAGCAACTGGTTCAGACCCTTACATCCCCGCTACGGGTTGGACAACGCAGAGTTTCTTCTGCAGGGAGTCTAGCTGGCGTGTGTGAGAACTGCCCTGCGACCCAAACCGATGGGAAATACGCAGGGATGATCAGGAGATCTGCTTGAAGTCGGCACTATTCCTCTGAAATGAATCGATAATGGTGACAGAGCCAAAGGGAGGGTGTTGCTGCAGTGCAGATCTTCCCCTTTCTGTGCACGGGGGCTACACAGAAACACCAAACCCTCGGCCCAGGCCCACCACAAGAGTACCGAGCAGACCGTGCTGCCGTGCTGGTTAGGATACAAACTTTACTGCCTGCTTCACCTAAGACATGGACTACTCAGTCGCACATGTATGCATCCATGAGTGGCTTCGGAAGAATAAGAAATGGAGAACGGCACGTAACTTGACTTAAGCTTAGCCAACTACTTCTGTAAAAGCAAGGAACAGCGCTCCTGCCAGCCAGAAACGGCAAAAGCATTTTGGACACTACCTAAACTGCTAAGACAAAAAATACTTCCAATTTTAGGTAAAATAACAGAGTTCACTAGTTCCTCAAAGTGATTGCCTATATTTACTGTGTATGTAACAACTTTTTAACATCAGCATTCCAAGAAAATGCAGATTTTTTATCATATTACTTAAACAAAACCCAACTCTGTAAGTATGTGAAGTAGGAAGAATGAAGAGAGAAACAGAGAATATTTTTTAAAGCAGTACCGTCTCTGAACTTCGCAAGCAACTGATTTTTCTTTCCTTGTGGCAAGCAATTTGGTGACTGAAAAAATGTATCTGGTTCAAATAAAATAAAGTTTCTTGTAAAAGAAAAAAAATATTAGGAAGATACACTTGGGTGCTGAGCTTTCAAAATCTTATAGTGGATATTAAAAAGAATTGAAGCCAAGAGCCACCGCAAACTGGAAAAAAATAAACAGGCCTTTAAGAAATTAAATGGTTTGAACCTATCAGAATGCTTTTCTATTTTTCTTTCAAGACTAACATTTCATTGAAATCAATATACATCTTCATTTTTATAGGGAAAGTGCAAGCGCCCTTCCAACTCTTTCTCCTTTCTGCATTAATTCTTTTGTCACTTTCAAAATGGAGAGGCTTACATAAAATGCCTTTAGAACAAAACATAACAGCAGCAATAACATACACAAAATAAATCTAAAAAAACCCTTCAAGGCCATCTTAAGTTTTCTTAACATTTGAAGAGTGGTCTTGCTTTTTAATTTGAAAAGATAACCTTGGAGAATGAGTAAAGGCCACTGTACAGGTGAGAGACCTCAAAATGACTGAGTATCACTTGTTGCTGCCAACTCCTATGCCAAAGGACAGTGTGGGCTTAGCAGGCCTAAGTACATAAAGGAAGCCCTCCCCATGTCTCTTTCTGTACAGGAGAAACTTTGTATTGCAAGAATGCTGCTACATGTGCCATTTAATTCTGCCCTGTGGGCAGAGCTAGCTCCCCTTACGTTCAGAATGTGCTTTTATCATCTGACTGTTAAGACTTGCCCCTTCCATAAAATTCACATGGAAAATAAGCACACAGAAAATGATGTAACTTGGCATTAGCCAAGGAGATGTAGCACTGAGATGCAGCTATGTGACTCTGAAAGCTTTTGGTTCTAAAATAAGGGACCCTTTTTTGTGACTACAACAAAACCCACCAGTGACAGAAGTGATCAGTAAGTGCTACTCGATGATCTCCAGTTATGAGAGAGAGGCCTCGCTCTCTCTCCGGAGTACAGATCAGCATTCAGGAATTTAGTACTTCAACTAAGTATTTTGAAAAGCCAGAAGTATCTAACTATGTATTTATTAAAGCATGGTTTCTACATTACTAATCCCAAATTTTGGATCCTGAACTAGTAACGTCTTAACTATAGGCAAAATTTCCATGGGCTTCTCTTCCTTATCCTGACCAAACAGCTGATAGTGTAGCTTTTACTGCCAAGCATGTTTGCACCACTCTCTTAAACACTTCAGCCTTTCACAATCTTTTTTAAAAAAATATGTAACTATTGAAAACTAGCAATCTTATGTGAGAAAATACACATTGGACACAGTAGAAAACAAAATAGTTCTTGTTAGTACAAAGGCTTTAACATTACAAAATGATAAAATACAAGGTAGTATTACATTATCGTATATACAAAGTACGACTCAAATACGGTTCTTAGGGGTTAAGAAGACATATTTCTATGAACAGTCTCAAAAAAGATACACCATACTAATTAAATGTGAATATTTTTAAGAAACTGAATGATGTGCACAAGAATATCTTAATTCCAAACTTCCACTGTTTTAAGCAGATTATAAATGTGTAAGAATAAAGAGGGAAGGAGTTCTACATTATTATTTTAATGTTCAGAAATGACAGTGATTGAGATCAATGGTATTATGCGGCAACATGAATCAAGCCAAAAGCACGCTTCTGCCTGCAAAATTGTATGCTCGGTACTGTGTCTACAACACTGCTCTTCTGTCTTTCCCTGCTGTAGCAGCTGAAACAATGTCTGTACTAGTTAGTTACTCCTTTTGAAAATGTTTCTAGAAGTAACAGTTTATTAATCAAGATATGAAGACATAATATTTCCATTTTTCAAATCAATGACTAGGACTCATCCCTGCTTCTTAAAGATACAGAGCAGAACCATACAGTAAAGAGATCTCCATGGTACAGGTTATGGAACAGGAGCAGAGGCCTGCCCCAAACTGTGTTTGTATTAATGTATACACAAAATTGGCTTGGGTGCTACCAGACTGCTGTCCATGCAGGCTGCAGTTTCTACCCCTGCAAGTGGTGCATACCACTGTCCTTCACACCTTTACTTTCGTCAGATTAAGTTTGAGGCACTGCTGGAGGCTGTTGGGAAGATATGGAAAACCTCTTTCCCCCTCCGTTCAATTGTGTGCCCATCTACGGGCTGACACTGTGTTCAGTATATAAACATTAGTAAAAATACACACTGAGTTTCCTTCTAACATATTCTTGCTAAACTTTTCTTTCTATTCTTAGAAACACCAGACTCAGGACAAATCCAGTGCTATACCTGTACTGAAGCCAACCATGCCCTGACACTCACTTGTCTGCAAGTGCAAATGTCTCAAGTTAGCCTGAGGCCATGGAGCCAGCTGCTGCATGTTGGACAGGCTTTGCAGAAAATGTGAAGGCATCCAACAAGAAGGGCTATTTTACTAAGGAACCAGAGAAAGCAGTATTTTCTTGTGAATCTCTGCAGTAACCAGCCGAAACAGGCAACTATAGTTCCTTAAAGTCAGTGCCCATTTGTTTTTGCAACAGCACGCACAATCAGTGACAGAGACATTCTGGGATGCGTAAGGAGGACTGCCTTCACCGAAGCAGCCTTTCACTGAACTCATGGAGGCGAGCTGCTTCAGACGTTTGTTTCTCTAAGCCCCGGTTACCTGAAACATCTTCAGCCACTCCTGCAGGCCCGTCGGTGGCTGCACAGATGTAATGCGGCGCCGCTGCTGTCCCTGGCCATTGGCAGCCCTCAGGTCCCCAAAAGTGGTAGGTGTGGCAGAGCATGGCACCAGCCCCGTAGTACTACAATACAAATAAAAAGTGACAATTACATGTAAAACATTAAGGAAAATTCAGCAGTCTTTTGCAGAAAAAGAAATCTAGTGGCGAAGTTGCAACTATTACTTAAACTCTTTACGCAAAAGTAGTAACACAAAAAAATCTTTCTATTGGTCACTCAAGGTGTCAGTTCCCTCACTTCCATAAATCTGCCTGTTTCTACCACTGCAGCAGTAATCCTCCAGCTCAGGGGAAAACGGGGACCACCTCTGAAGACTGAAAAATTACCACTCTGTTAACTGGCCAGCAGGTTGTCTATAAAGACGCAGGTTTACACATTCCTTTCCTTGCCAGAGTATTTCCTTTCCTTCTGGCTGCATTTGTGCCTTCTGGCTGGTGATGTAGGAAGCCAGAGTTCAGAGTCTCACCTGTATGCGAAATGTGCTAGTGCTGCCACAGCGCCAAACAGAAAAAAACCCCACAACCATCTATTTTTAGCTCTTCATATATTTTGTTGACAAAGAGCTAGTAATACCAAGCAGTCCTAGTGGCTTAGTGGTTTGGAATTGCGCTTTGAAATACTCTGTATAGAGTATTTTAAAGTTTGCGTAGTGATGGAGTGACACAGGAATTAAAGGGAAGGTGAGGTGAAGAGGGAAAAGGAGCCAAAGGTGCTCCCTGAACTACAGTTTGTTTTTTTCACTCTGACATGTTGAAAACCAGCTCATTCATATAGGATGGATCTTCTAAATGAGCTGGGATTAAGCTGCTATTGTAGGAGTCCAAAGAAATACAGCTGACTGGTTTTCCCTTTTTTTTTTCCCTAACATAAAGTACTTCGTTCACAGAATATCAAAGCTGTATTCCCTAGCAGGGAATCTGGAACTCCAGTAGTGTTTGCACAAGCATGAAAATTTTACATACAGTGTGGGACTGTAAAAACCCCTTTGCTTTTGTGTATGATAAATCCAGCTTTTCAGTAGGTATGAGCTTCAGGGTTTTACTGACTTTCCAGTGGCTACAGGAATAGCTTCAAATGATGCACGGAAGGTTCATTTCAATATTTATCTCATCACAATCTACAAATATTTCACTCTGCTCTTCCTTGTTCTGAAGGACAATCATAGCATGTGCTAACATTTATTCAAACTCGTAAAGGAAAGTTAAGACTGGTTTTAATAGGCTTATTTTTAACTGCTAATTTTACTGAGTAATAACAGAAACAGAAGCTGACATTAAAAATACTGTTTCCCAGGTGAAGAATCCTCTTAATGACATTTGTCGACCGGCTTTACCTGTTACATGCAAAAGAAGTTCATCAGGCCTGTAAATTTTAAGGAGTGTCTGATCTCAGGGAAAACGAAAACAAGCAAGCGCAAGAACTGCATCATTTGCCTAAACATTATGAAATAAATTAAGATCAAACAGTTTAAAAGAGAGAGGATCGGATGTTATTTAAGGATTCTTTTCCACCGGTAATGACTCAAAATCCAAGCAATAGCAACTGAAAGGATTTTTAAGATAAAATCTGGTTTTCCAGCTTACTCATTCTCATCACCTGTACAGAGATCCAGCAGAAGGCCTATCATTTAAGGTCCAAAACAAGGCTCTTAAAATTGGCTCATATTGGATCTGAGCAATAGGTAGCCTTGAGCATGCACCAATAGAATAGTTACGCTTTAATTTCTTCTGCTGTGAACTGGTTCTCAGTCAAAAACAGTTATTCAAAACAGGATCTAAAAGCCTCTTTCCTTTGACCTGAGATCAAACCACGAGATTGCTGCTTGTGCTTTATTCTTGCTGTACATCCTCACTCCCTTGAATCAGCCAGTCAGGTTTCTGTGGACGCCAGACAAGTCCAGCAGCTCCTCTGAACCCGACAGAGACACCCGACCAGCAGCGCACCTTTGCTGCTGCTGAGCCAGTTACTCTCACAGGAGCGCAGAGCACGGTGTGTCACCTGAAGAGCTGCTGCCCAACAACAGCCTTCTGCCACCCGACTGATACAGAAGCCCGGAGAAGCTACCAGCTGGAGACTCGAGGGGGGTGTGGAAGCTGCAACACGTGCTCCTCGGCAACAAGGCATTGCCTCTTGCTCTCTACTGCTGCGTTCACACGTCTGAAAAGCAGCCCCGGAACCTGTCTCCCCACACTGTCCTAACTTGTCAGTCACCACCTGATGAACCTCTTCAAGGAAGAGAAAATTTAAGTTGCTTTTGAAAGATCCATCGGTGACTGAAGGCTACTACAGCGTATTCAGAAGAAATAACCTCCCCCGCTAGTTCTGGGAGGCCAGCGCAGTGCTTGTGGGAGGGCTGATGCTTATTACCGGGGAGAACCGTCAAAGGGCATAAATTCAAACAGGATGGGAAGCAGCGTGACATCAGAGCGCAATTGTTATGGCAACTACACAGCAAGAACTGCAGTTGTAAGGCGTGCAGCCGGGGCCCTACCCTACCCCTGCCTCTGACGTGTAGGAGTGCTTTGCCCCACAGAGCACCTGACCGGAACAGCAGCAGTTTTATTTGTGCGATCTGGTACCATTTCTGAGTAGTAAGGAAGCGGACCAGAACCCGTAACGACTTCACATCGTGGATAACAAGTACGTGTGTGTTCTGTAAGATCAGATGGTCTGCTCTGCCTACATAAATTTCCATTCTCTCATTTCTGTTACCATAGCAAAGCGATACATCTGATCACAGTTTGTAGTAGTCTCAGGGTTTATCGTTACGTCTCTTTTTAAAAACCCGATTGATTTTATCCCCAGGAATGCTTCAGCCCTCTAAAAATCTCAAGTAAATGGGCATGCTATATTTAGAATAAAACACAAACCTCCACTGAAGAAAGGCAAGCCTGGCTACTTCATTAAAACTCATCTTCAGTTCACGTAATGTAAATTAGCTAAGGAATATACGAATGGTGATACCACCCCTTCTTCGCTTCACAGTGCTTTCACATTAAGAGAAGCCATGAATCAGGCCTAGCGATTGGAAAGACAGGATACACGCAAGAATCGGGATCCAGTGATCTGTCATTGCATTTAATTACCTTGTGTATTCTGAGACTTTGCAGGGTTTCTTTCCCAGAGAGAAAGAACGGACCTCGGAGCCATGGTCCAACTTTCTCTTCATCTGCAAGGTGAGGGAAAAGAGTAACAACACGGATTTAGTTACATGACCAGCCTTACTTACGCGTACTTCTGTAAAATTAACCCATTTTTATACCTTTAATATCAAATTTCAACAAAGTTGACACTCACAAGAGGATTTAAAGCAACATTTTAGTTTCTAGCTTCAGCAATATTTGATTCATGTTTCATACGGTGCACGTATACATCATTGATGTTCTGTGGTCCAAAACTGATTGGAATTCTTTTCATTTCCAAATTTCAAATGTTAAAAAAGCATGCAGAACTCTGGGTTGGCTTGTTTACTAAACTGTCCTCTCTCTATTCTCCAGGGAGGGAAAGAACTAAACCAAACCCCTTCATTCTTTGTGTTCAGGTTCACTGTGAAGGGTCTCACGGAAATGGTTAAATTTTAGGTAGCCTGTCTGCATTATAAACCAAATATTCGTTTCAGAGCCTAAAAAAAATTAATTCAAATATATTTTCTCTTTTGCCTACCCTTTCATTTTGAAGTTGTACACTGAAAACGTTTTTAGAACTGCAGTAAAACTGGCTGACAGATTAACTGACATTTTTACAAGAAGAGTAAGGATGACAAACACTAAACCTCGGCCCTGAATGTCACCCGCAATTAGATATGATCAAAACCAAATAATGAGCAGGGCAGCTGCTAAAAGGCGAAGCCAGTCCGCAAGAATTACCAAAGTGATGGAAACCAGTGAAAGCCATATTTACCCAGTCAGACAGATAAAGATTACTTTCTGCATGTCTGGGTAATCTTTAACCACAGGCTTCGGGACTCAATGAGATGTAAGTACGCCAAATGCAATTTCAGAGATTTTTGTTGTTGGTTATCTTCTTTTAAGACGCGATGCACCCAAACACTTTGGCCGGCAGAAGGATGCTTCCTGCTGTTTACAACCGTGAGCTGCAAAACGCATAAACTACCTGTGCAACAATTCAGACTTTACTTTGGCCATTTGCTCCCTCTTTTCAAAATTCTATATTTAAGATACAGTTTAAAAGTCAGCACCTTTCTTACATCGCTGAGTTGATCTTTTTTTAATGTTGAATTATAACGCAGTTATTTAACCATTTGCCGCACCAGTCTACCTGTCTAAAGCCAAAACACCTAAGACCCAACAGGGTTCTCTAAAGCTTACGGTCTGTGTCATTTTGTTGCAGTTTTCGCTTTCTTGGCTTTCACTTTTCAAACCCCTCCATGGCTCTCCCTAAGAACAGTCGCTGAAGACCGCGTGTTTTGCTTCGTCAGTGATTACAAAGGCAGGCTAACTCAGGTTAACCGGTCTCGCTCTCGCAGTGGCGAGGCAGCCTGGAGAGCTTTCCTCGCAGCCCCTCGTGGGACAGACACCCCACGGCATCTCGCCCTCTGCCTCCCCACGCCCCGGCACGGCAGCCCCCGCACCCCCCCCGCAGGCGTCACTGAAAAATAGCGGGTACCATCTTTTATCGCCGTGCCAGGCAAGCGAGCTACCGAAATTACTGGCAGCAGAAATAAAGACGTTTGAGCGTGAACCTCGGTGTCTGACGGCAGACTTTTCAGACAGGATTTTTCTCGTTCAGGGGATATTTTCTATTTCGA